TGAACTTTAGTTTCCTTGCCTTTAAAATAAGAAAAGTTATAAACTGGTGAACAAAATAGATCCAGAGACATAGAGGCGTGGAACAGACTATTAAATCTCAGAGGGAAGGCAGGCGTGGGTAGGAAGAGACCAACCAAAGAACTTACATGCATATATGAATAACCCATGGACACAAACAATAGTGTGGTAAAGGCCTGGGGCAGGGGACAGGGGTGGGCTAGAAAATGTCAATGGATAAAAAAAGGGCACATATGTAATACTTTCAACAATAAAGATTTTTTTTAAAGCAAGGAGTTCTTAAGACTTTTGAAGTTCTTGAACCTGAAAATAAAAACTAGCTGATTAATATTAAAAATAAAATAAAATATGGAAAGGCAGTCAAAAATATTTCTGAGGTTCTATTTTTACAAGTGAAACATGCCATAGAACCTTTTCCTACGGGATTCACTATCAGATGGCCTGGATGCTTATAATTTTTAACACTGAACTCATTCATTTGGACACAGACATTTTCTAAGAAACACATATTGAAGGATAATGTAAACCACTCAAGCAGCCAATGAGTCATGGTTGCTATGGCCTTGTTAGAGAGCCCTGGAGAGACATTGGAGGGTAAAGGTAAAGTAACTCAGGTCTTTGTGGGATGAGGGGATTCTAGGCTGCATTAAAATATTTGTGATGTGTGGGTGCACATGTGTGCACATGTATTTACTTGAGTTCAGAAGAAGGGCATTGTGCAGAAAATGGCATAACAAAGGAAACCATTAAATAGACAGTCCTAATAGAGAGATTGACCTTGTCTTTTATTACAGGATTAAAATACCATTCCATACACATCAAAGGTCAGGATAATTAAATCATTGGCTTATAGATGAAAGTTAGGCATAACCTATTCCATGTAATTATATAATATACTATTTTAATTAATACCTTTAATGAAACAAAAACTGAGAAATATAACATTAAAGTAGGCCTTTAAAATCTTGAATTCAATGTTTGATGATATTGAGAAATATATTTTTAATTTCTTTCTGTAATGTCCACTCAAATTCCAGCTGACAGTCCTAAGCAAAGCTCAGATCGACTACTGAATATGATTTCCTGACCTGACTTTTTGGTCAGAATCAATCTGTTCATCATTTCACAGTATAAACAAATTGGGGTGAAAAAGAATAACCAAATCTTACTGGAAATAACAGAAAAGAAAAATCAATCAAACTCAGTGTTGTTTAAAATGGTATATTTTAACAGGTGACTTTGCAGGGATATGACTTGAAACTGCTTTCATGTTAAATAAGACTTGATACAAAATGACAGTGTGTGGACTGCCAGTTATCATTTATTCAATAGTTCTTGGCTTGGCTTTCTTGAACTCACTGAACATACTAAGTTTGGTATTAAGCACATTTCTTGATATATCACTATGGGGTTTTGGCAGTACCACCAAAGATAATCAAATAGAGTATGCAAGGGGAACTCTGAAACAACATAGGCATTGGTTGCATACATTAAAGCCATTCGTTCATTATTTAATGTGTAAATTTATGTACTGAGTTTTATCGTAGTTATTCACATTATGACATTTACATTATCTAGGAAATTGTATTGCTGTGTAGATGTCCTTTAAAAATTGTGACAAAAGGAATATAGCATATTACCTAATATTTTTATTTGGGTCAGAAAAAAACCTTGATTTGAATCTTCCCTCCATCCATTTATCATATGACCCAAATTAATACTATCTTTAAGTTACAATTTCCTTAAAATGGGAATAATGATACTGTTTACTGTTGGGAGAATGCTTAATCCTTACCTTTAAGATTCTCTTTCTATGGCTTGAACTCATTTTAGCAAAATACATGGGCTTTCTTTCCTCTACTCACACTCCCCAATGAGAAAAAAGTGAATTATTGAATTGATAACAGTTGGGGAAAATAAAATGTCATGGTGAACATCACTCTTTCCTTCTTCCTTTTGGAAACAAATAGGGCTAATGTGGAGAAGGTCCTGCCCAGGTTCACTCTTGCTTGGAGCTATGAGGGTATCTCCAGTTAACTCTGGGGTTCAGTAAGCACACTTGCTCACCAGACCTTATCCTCATATTGCAACATGGCCTTTTTTCAAGATGATAGTTTCCCAAAGTCTATGCCTCCTTTTTTTTGTAAATCCTCACTCAAGGATATGTTTTTATTGAATTTGAGAGAGAGAGAGAGAGAGAGAGAGAGAGAGAGAGAGATCTCAGTTGCCTCCCGCACAGACTGGATGGAAGTTGTAACCTTTTAGGTGTGTGAGACCACACTCTAACCAACTGAGACACCTGGTCAGGGCTTTTTTATCTTTTAATATAATACTAGAGGCCCAGTGCACAAAATTTGTGCATGGGGAGGGGTCCCCTCAGCCCAGCTTGTACCCTCTCTAATCTGGGACCCCTCGGGATCAGGCCTAAACTGGCAGCCAGACATCCCTCTCACAATTGGGACCGCTGACTCCTAACTGCTCACCTGCCTGCCTGCCTGATCACCCCTAACTGCTCACCTGCCTGCCTGCCTGATCGCCCCTAACTGCCCTCCCCCCCCACCGGCTGGGTCACCCCCAACTGTCCCCCTCACAGGCCTGGTCACACCACACAGCCTGCTCTTCAGTCGTTACTGTTACTGTGACTGCGTCCCATACAATTTGCACATTCCTCTATTATTAGTATAGATGTTCAGACATGAGAAGCAGGGTGTAAGTTTTCAGTCTTTTCAGAGACCCTAATGTCCACCTAACAGGACTATATTTATATTAAATAAAATAATTAGTTATAGTGCATTTAATAAACTTTAATAAATATGCTGGTTATTATTACCATACGTCAATCTGAAATTAAATATCTGTCAACCAGTGATTACATGTGCTTTAGTTCATATATCATTTGTAATTAACATTGCTTTTCCAAATGCTGCTGTTGTCACATAGTTTCAATCAAATGTTGAAGCATTTTATGGCTAAAGATAGTGTGAATTTGTATTAACAGCTGAATATTTTGCTTCAATGATTATTTAAGAATTCATAAAATATAGGCAAGCATACTGGCCTAACTTATAGAAACACTATAATCTATCCTACCCACCCCCAGACTGATTTGTAATATTTGATAAAATAAATGTACTAAGAGGCTTGAGATTTTTTCCCCTGAAAAATTGAATATTCGTATTCTATGTCTTAGGAAGATACTTACATGTTTGGCAATATCCACCAGTCCAGGTTCAATGAAATACGTCCATCAGAATTTATCTCAGCCTCTCATTAGCTGCATTTTTACTTTACAGAGTAAGCCCAAGGACTTTCTCTGGGAGAAAAACACTTTTTTTTTTTTTTTTGCAATAAGCTATTTGTCCAAATATACTCTCAAGCTTTCCATGTAATTAAACTTTCCTTTTCCTTGTTGTAAATAAATATTTTCAAATAATATTTTAATCTTTTCTTGTGTCTCATATTTTCAGGACAATATTTCTTCCATCTTGGCTGTGATAAAGATACCTAATTATAATACTGATGATAGTAAGTTGACAGTGGTATTGTTGAGTGATCACTGTGTGTGTGCCACGCAGCCTATCATCGCCCTCATTTTACAGATAAGGAAATGGAGACAGAACAGCTAAGGAATTTTGTTAGAATCACAAAGCTATCAACTGTGTAGCTAGCATTAGAGCTCAGACTCTGGCTCAAATGCACACATGTTCTTAAAAAGTAGACCATGTTGTCTTTTGTGACCTGTGTCTCCATATAACAGTGTTTAAAAGGCTTGCCTGTGTGTTTTCTCAGACACTTTAATTCTAAAAGAACTTACATTATGTTTCTTTATTTCCTTTCAATGAGATAGACTAGAGTATGGTAATAGGATAGGTTGGTCACATACTACCAATCCAAAAAAAAAAAAAAATCTCTAACTTCAAGAGCTGTTCTTAGGCAAAATTGCAAAATTAAGTAGCATGTGTGATGTGCATATTAGAATGAGAATAGTAAATAGCGTATTCTTATGCAAACCTCTTTAATAAGTTTCTTTTTTGCCCCAGCAAGATGAGATTTTGGTGTGAAAAAAGAAGTTGGCTAATCACAGACTGACTCTTAGAAAAGAATTATTCATTACCAGAATCTGTCTGCAAGTTAAATGAAATAAAAATGGAAAATATCTCCAAAAATTCATTAATGAACTTTGACTTAATTTACATTTGAGTAAATATCAAACTTACTATTTATTTCCCAAATTGTGTTCTGTTGTGTTTTTAGAATGTGTGTTTTAACAATGGAGAGATAAGCAAAATTATAAAAGTTGATGCATAGCTGAATCATTTTAATTTTTTATTAGGTTTGATATCAATTGTGAACTTGGCCTTAGAACACTCTTCCCAGAATTGACCTGGAACAATTTAGTCCAAGCAAAACAGTTCTATTTCTCAAAACATCACTTCACACTTACATGTTAGAAAATAAGTAGTTTGCTTCTATTCTGGTGAAGGGGAAGTTAAATATTTTCTTCTTTGTCAGACTAGACATATAACTTTTATGGAACAGATTTAAAAACTTCAAGGATAAACCTAGGTCTACACTTGACCAGGTGTTATCTTGTTCATTTTCAAGCAGAAGTACATAATGAACATTGTTTTGATATTCTAAAAGGAAAACTGGAAACACTTTAAAGGATATCACTTCCCTAAGGGAAATAAAAAGTGTTGGTTCACATTGAACATTTGCTCAGGTATTAAAACACAGAAGCCAAATGTCCTACAAATGGCAAGGTGCCCTAGAAGCAGTCCTAGAGGCTGAAAAAGATGTGTCTGGTAAATGAGGGAGAGGAAAACCTGGACCAGTGTCAGAAAAAAAGCAACATGAACAGTTCGCCACCCGTCGTTCCTGTTGTTTTATGTCATTTCTAAGACTTCAGAAAAACTAGTCCAGTACGTCCAGGACACTTTTCAATGTCACAACTGTCACCAGTCTAAGAGGAACAAACTTACTTGTCAAGTTAAGAACATGCTCATGATATTGAGACTGCATTGCGGCAACATTGCATTAGGTTTGAGTTTGAGTGTCAAAGGAGGAATTCGCATAAGAAAAGAGAAAAGCATTTTCTCACAGACACTGTGCCATAGGAAGCTGTGCCTGGAGTGATGGAGGAGCAAACTTCACTGCATGGAAACGACACCTCAACAAACACCCGGCCCACGGGGCTGCAGTTGGCACCCACATAGCCTCTTGGGGAATGATCCAGCTTGGTGTCATCTTTACTGTTAGGAGAAGTTTTATTAGATGCAATTTATACGTTAATTTTTGAATTTACCTCCTTAACAACTTCCTAAATCAGTTGGAATACATTCAGTATGTGTTGATGTTTTCACACAGAAGTCAGAATTTAGAGTTACCTATAATAATAAAAGTGTGATATGCTAATTAGACCAGACGTCCTTCTGGATGTCCTTCCTTCTGGACAAAGCTGCAGTGGGCGGGGGCCATGGCAGAGGCGGCAGAGGCCCCTGGCCGCAGCGGTGGTGGCGGGTGGGGGCCTTGGCGGCTGCGGGCGGGGGGCTGGGGCCAAGGCCCTGGCACGAATTTCATGCATCAGGCCTCTAGTAGGTATATAACATTTTTATCTGTGACCTTCTAATAAAACACAGGTATGCCCTAACCAGTTTGGCTCAGTGGATAGAGCGTCGGCCTGCAGACTCAAGGGTCCCAGGTTCGATTCCGGTCAAGGGCATGTACCTTGGTTGCGGGCACATCCCCAGTAGGAGGTGTGCAGGAGGCAGCTGATCAATGTTTCTCTCTCATCGATGTTTCTAACTCTCCATCCCTCTCCCTTCCTCTCTGTAAAAAATCAATAAAATATATTTTTTAAAAAAAAACAAAAAACAAAACACAGGTAAATTTTGGGTTGAATTTTGTCTCAAATGTTAGTTCTCTGTGAAGAAAGGCTCAGTCTAATTATCTAAAGGAATATGTAAGCATCATTTTGCTCATCACAAAAAATGTCAAAAGGATAACATTTTATTCCAAAGCAGAGGTAACTGTACGGTGCATTGCCCCTGGTGGCACAGTGGCGATTCTCTTTTCGTACATGGCAAGTTGAAAGTAGTGGTGAATGCCACCTACCATATTAGGTAGGAAGTTAAAACAAAAACCCAGGTAGTGCTGCTAAATGTCCCCTCTCTCCACACAAAATCTCTCTATAAAATAATGGGCTGCTTTTATTCCAGATCTTATTAAGCATTAGCTCTATCTTACAGAGAAAAGGTGAAAGCAATGTTGCTTCTTTAACTATATGATTTGTACAATTAGGTAAAATTTTGTACCACAAAACTCAGACTTCCTAACTTTTATGTACTTTGCTTATTATAATCCTTGCCAAAGCAGTGAGGTGATGTTCAGTGTAGAGAGCCTGTTAGTAGAACTATTTGAATGTTTCTGCCATGTAAAAAAATAGCGTTGGAATTTATGAGCAAAAGGTTGTGATTCTATAAATTTTATATAAAGACAATATTCTGTTATTGAATATACCCCAGGACACCAATGCTGACAAATAACTATAGGCAATGTAATGATTTTGAATTTTAAATATTTAAAAATCTATTTTAATTCACCAGAAGTGATATGGGATTACATAGATTTTACCCTGAGGTTTCTTTGGGTTAAATCACTGCCACATATGTAATATTTTATTCTAACTGGTCATTCTTAGGAAGTGAACATGTGCTCAGTAGTATGGATGATCTGAAAGAAGGAACTGCATGCACACCAGGAGAATTAGGAAGTACCTGTAATTTTGACATATTACGTTACAGATGGGCAATTTGTGACTATATATCCCTTGGGGCAAATGAATGCTCTAGTTGAACTAATATTAAGAGAAATGGCTTTGAGACTATATGCCAAACAGATGTACTATGTAATCAAAGTGAAGGTCTATTTCTTTCCATCTATTTAAACAAAACTAAAAGAAATTTATCCCCGAATAGTCTCTAATTCCTTATACATGCTGCCAACAAGCAAAATTTTCCACAGTATATTTCCACCATCAAGCAAATGATGTAAAGGTAGGCGCTGCACTGTCAAATGTCCCTGCTCTCTCTGGGCCTGAGGCATCACAGTGATGAAGGAGGACCAGCTTTGTTATTAATTTCTCTTTTCCCCTCTTTTTTTAAGTTATCTTTATTGGTGAAAGTATTACAGATGCCCCCTTTTTGTCCCCATGGACCTTATCTAGCCCACAATTGCCCCCTGCCCCAGGCCTTCACCATCCTATTGTCTGTGTCTATGGGTTATGTATATATGCATACAAGTTCTTTGGTTGATCTCTTCTCACCCACCCATCCCTCTGAGATTCATCAGTCTGTTCCATGCTTCTTTGTCTCTGGATCTATTTTGTTTATTCGTTTATTTTGTACATTGTATTCCACATATGAGTGAGACCATGTGATTCTTGTCTTTCTCTGACTGGCTTATTTCACTTAGCATGATTCTTTCCAGGTCCCTCCATGCCGTTTCTATTTCACTGCTGCATAGTCGTCCACGGTATAAATGTACCACAGCCTTTTTATCCACTCATTTACTGATGGACATGGGCTGTTTCCAGATCTTCACTACTGTAAAGAGTGCTGCTATGAACGTAGAGGTGCATATATTCTTTCTGATGGGTGTTTCGGGGTTTCTGAGGATATATTCCTAAAAGTGGAATCATTGGTGCAAATGGCAGTTCCATATTTTATTTTTTGAGGAAACTCCATACTGTTTTCCAGAGTGGCTGCATCAGTCTGCATTCCTACCAGCAGGGTTCCCTTTTCTCCACATCCTCACCAGCACTTGTCATTTGTTGGTTGGTTGATGGTAGCCTTTCTGACAGGTGTGAGGTGATACCTCATTGTCATTTTAATTTTCATCTCTCTGATGATTAGTGACTTTGAGCATTTTTTCATATGTCACATGGCCATCTGTATGCCCACTTTGGAGAAGTATCTATTTAGGTCCTTTTCCCACTTTTTAATTGGATTATTTGTCATCCTTTTGTTAAATTTTATGAGTTCATTATATATTTTGGATATTAAGCCCTTATCACATGTATAATTGGCAAATATGTTCACCCATACGGTGGGCTCCCTTTTCATTTTGTTGATGGTTTCTTTGGCTGTGCAGAAGCTTTTCTTTTCATTCGTCTATACCTGTGGTTTGGTAAGAAATGGCCATTGATGCACATCCAGACCTTAGTAAAAAACTTAGATTCACTCACTGTCCTGTAAGAATGCTAGAGTGAAACCCATAAAGAGTGCACCCCAAAAGACTAGGGTCTGGAATGATTACATTTTTATTGATTTCGCATTTGGAGAATAGGAAATGGAAGTATTAGAGAATTTGGCACAAACTCTTGGCAGCTTGAGTATGAGCTTGGGTAGAGATGGTGACAACATTTATGTACTGCCCACACAGCCTAGCAGAAGGAACACACTGAACTGGCAGGTTGGGTGCCTAAATTCTGGTCCTAATCCTGATGCTCCTCTTCTGAATAATTTTAAACAATACCCAGTAATTTTCTGTTTAAAATGTCTTCATCTGTAAAATGATATATTTAAATTAGGTAAAGTATCTTCAATTTTAAGTATATAAAGGCTATATGCAAGGTAGGCAGAAAAATACTAGAACTCTAGTGAACAAATACATTACCATTCCAAGGAAAATATTGTTAAATATAAATGAAAGGTAAACTTTTGAAAAGGAGGGATGACTGATATGTTTGAGCCTTTATTATGTACATCATATTATACAAAATTCTTTTTTTTTCTTTTTTTTTAAATATACTTTATTGATTTTTTACAGAGAGGAAGGGAGAGAGATAGAGAGTAGAAACATCGATGAGAGAGAAACATCGATCAGCCGCCTCCTGCACAACTCCTACTGGGGATGTGCCCGCAACCCAGGTACATGACCTTGACCGGAATCGAACCTGGGACCTTTCAGTCCGCAGGCCGACGCTCTATCCAATGAGCCAAACCGGTTTCGGCTATACAAAATTCTTTACTTATATTGTTTAAGCCAGCATTTCTATTAGGCATAAAGAGGTTGAAGGTATAATTTGTCTATTTTATATAGGTAAGTTGATTTATATGCAATTTCAAAATAATAAATAATAGAAATGGTTATGGAGAACCTTGAAATGAAAGACAATGGAATAAAGACTAGTTTGGCCGAAACCAGTTTGGTTCAGTGGATAGAGCATCGGCCTGTGGACTGAAAGGTCCCAGGTTCGATTCCGGTCAAGGGCATGTACCTGGGTTGCGGGCACATCCCCAGTAGGAGATGTGCAGGAGGCAGCTGGTCGATGTTTCTCTCTCATCGATGTTTCTAACTCTCTATCTCTCTCCCTTCCTCTCTGTAAAAAATCAATAAAATATATTTAAAAAAAAGACTATTTTGTACTATAGATGATTATTAACATGGAAGCTTTAAACCTAGTGTTTCAAACTTAGTTGTTTTCAGAATTCACCAATCTATTTATTTTTCTTTCAAATATGTTTCTCAAGTGTATTCAGTCAAACAGATTTAATTTTTACTTTTTGAAGAGGTTAGAGATATTGGAGCTAAATGCATACATTTTGATCTTGCTTTCATTAAGCTTACAGTCAACCAGGGACATAAGCCAGGTAATACTTAATACAATTTTGAGGCTAATTATGCTAGCGGGGATGGGGTCCCTTCCTTCATGTACTGAAATTATGCATCCACACTCTTTGCCATGTAACTTCACAGCATCTTTTCCTATGGCTGGGGCATATTTTCCTGCTCCGTTGATTAGGGGAGGGTTGAAATGACTTGCTTTAGTCAACAGATGAAAAAATAACAGTGTGCGAATTGTCAGCAGAAGCCTGAAGGAGCATTTTGTGTTTCCACATAAACTCCCATGCTCCTGTGATCCATAAATAAAAGAGCATTCAGCAATAGCTGTTTCAGCCTGGGTCCCAGAATGAAGATAAATGGAGGAGACCTGAACCTGAAAGAAAGTCTGGAGTTTA